ATGAAGCTTACAAAATATGCTTGTTTTTGAAGAAGTCATTGAACAAGTAGAAAATCCAAAGCTTTAGGGCAAAAGTTGAGATTCAGGGTGATGTAGAAGACCTAGGGTATGTCCAGGTTTGCGTGACCTTGGTTAAGTTATTTAGTCATCTGAATCACAGTTTCTTAATTTTGAAAATGGGAGCAACAATTCTTTTTCTTCCTACTTCATAGGGTTTGAAGATTAAGTAAGATAATGTAAATCAAAGTGCTTTGTACGTTTGTTGTAGGAAAATGCCACTTCTCATCTGTGTTTCTTCCCATCATCAAAACTGAAAACAACAGTAAAGCTAGCTGGGTTACATTTTTTTTCTGGATATTTTCATCTGCCCTACTTATAAATGAGTCTTCTAAATAACTATTTTAGGAAAAGTCATTCCTATTTTAGGCTAAATAGTTTCCTCAGAAGTTCTGAAACTATATTTCAGGAACAGCCAGTTCATAGAGGTAACCTTACTCTGATCTCTTTGTGTGTGTGACCTACTTTTTAAAAAATTTCTCAGGGCCTTAAGAGAGGAGTATGGGTGTGACAGTAGGGGTTCTCTGTTCTTGTTTCATTTTGAGCTGAGAGGGTGAAGAGAGAAGAGAGAATGACTAGTGAGGGAGAAGTGGTTGCAGCTTTCCAACTGGAAATACCTGAAAAGAGAGGCATGTTGATTGGAGGATCTATAATCATTCAGCTACATGCTGAGGGATCTGTGAGTTGAAGGCAGCATCCTATAAGATGTTAGGCATTTAGCAGGGCCAGGAGAGTCAATTCACTCTTGATGGGCTGTTCCCCAGAAGTAGCAGAACCTGGCTTTCATTTTAATGTTTATGAGATTAAGTGTTCTAGAACAGTTTATTGTTATGGCAGGGACTTTGTCTTATTCACTGCTTCATCCCCAGAACCTCACAGCGTGTCTGGCAAATATAATAGCTCCTTAATTAAGACTTGTTGAATAGAGGCATTTTTGTAAGGCATCTTCACAATATTCACTAAGCTGCTTTCTTAGACCATGTTTAACATGTACAATTATGCTGGACATATTGATTCTCTGGAATGTATTATGTACCCATGTAGTTCATAGAGTCTAGTTGGTTCTCCTTCCTTAACAGCTGTCATAACTGTCCCCTGTCTTCATGCCCACTGCCACATTCTTCATTGAATCCTTCATCTCACCTGGATTATTATAGTGTTTACACTGATATCCTACCTTCAGATCTTATAACCTCCAATCACCTTTTCCATTGCTGCCAGCGTGCAGTATCTCTAAGGTACAAATTTAATTATGCTTCTGCTAAAATACTTAAATGGTTTTCTTTTACTGATAGCAGCGAATTTCCAGTGATGGTATTCTAACACACTGAGATGTCAACAATCAGTTGGGAGGTGATAGATATATCAATATTTGTGCTGTCTTCCATGAAAATGAGTTCAGAAGGAGATAAAAATGATTACGGTGCCGTATTTATAAATTATCTTTTAAATAATTCATGAAATCACAAGGATAGAGCAGCTAGAATGTCCATTTTCTTTGCTATCTTATGTAGCTAGGAAGAGCATACTTCTAAACTAGACCTCACCAGAAAGACAGTACTTTTCTCCAGTATGTTTTCATTATGGCAGTATCTTAGCGACTTTATTTATGATTTGTGTTTTTGTAGATGACAGTGTTTTTCTTTGTTTTTAAATAAAGGCACATTATACTTTTTATAATATAGATATTACATATTTTATAGTAATATATTTCTACTCATTCAAGGAATAAACCCAAAGATAAAAAAGATCAATATAAAAATGTCTTATCTATTGTCCCTACACTTTTAGTGAAATTGTGTTTCTGAAAGGAGTGATTGCGAACTTAAAATCATTTGTCATTGTCGTGAATTGAGGAGTGTAAAGCAGCACAAACAATATGATATGGCATCAGTAGTGAGATCATCTTACAGGTCAGGAAATAGCAAGACTTGAACTTTGTCAATTACCAAAAAAAAAAAATCATATTAACACAAATCCAAATAATATTTTATCCTTTTAAAAGTAAATTTTCATCATTCTGAGTTAGTATTTTCCTTCAAATAATGAATAAATACACTGGAATGTTGAGTGAGGTATTTATACTGTCTCACTGTCTAATTTATTTCTCTTACTATATTGTAGACATTTTATGAGGGCCACTTTATAATAAATGCTAACAGAGCATATTAAATAGTATTAGGTGTTAAAATACAGTTAAATGAAACATTCTACTTGAAGTGTCAAAGAGTACAGAGCTCAAAACATAAATCTCAAAGCCAACAGAGTAGCTAAAAATTAGGGGAAACCACAGAAACAAGGACAGTGAGCCCAGCTCTGCCTAAATCCTCGGCTAAGTGTCACATCTCACAGGTTCTAAGGGGAGACCTATAGGAAATTAGGCTAAAAAAAGCAGCAATTAGAAGCCACAAGAACAAAACAGATATAAGTAGCTTAGTACCCTGGATTAGAAAGAGTTTGCAGTTTGAATCCAAGCAAGATAACTGTTACAAGTCCAAAAGTTCTCAGAAAAAGGTGACAGAATTCAGTGTTTCTGTGTTATCTACAGTGTCTAGTTTTCTTCAAAAATATTTTACATACAGTTAGGCAGGAAAATGTGAATTATATCCAAGAAAATGGCAGTCAGTAGAAACTCTTAGCCCAGATTCGAATTTAGCAGACTTCAGAGCAGCTATTTTAAATATGTTTAGAGTATTCAAGGAAAATATGATATGAATGAATAAGAAGATAGGTTATCTCAACAAAGCAGTGGAAACTGTATTTAAAACAGAATAAAACAAAAACAAACCTGGAAGTCCTAGAATTGAAAAGTAAGAGATAAGAAAAAAAGATGAGGTCAAAAACAGTTGTAACATGTCAGAAGAAAGCAACAGCAAACCCAAAGACCCAGTAGACATGACCTGGTCCAAAGAACAGAAAGAAAAAAAGATTGAAGAAAAATTAACGAAACCTAAGAGAACTGTCAAGTAGTCCATTATACATGTTCTTGCAATCATGAAGAGCTGAGAAAGAGATATAAAAATATTTGAAGAAATAATGACCTCAAACTTTCCAAATTTAGTGAAAATTACTAATCAATAGATCCAGGAATTTTACAGAGCCTCAGGAAGGATGAGCACAAAGAAAACTATTCCTTGATATAACGTAGTCAAAGTACTATATGATAAAGAGAAAATTTTGAAGGCAACCAGAGGAAAATGACACTTGTTTATACTTCAAAGAAAAACCTGAAAATATTTGTTGCTAATGATAAAAATTGAGCTTTTAAGAAAAATTTATAATTTTGGAAAACTTGTATTCACTAATATTTTCCAGTTTGACTTTGGAAAACTTGTAATCACCAATAACTCCCCAATACTTTGAAAGACATTTCATATGGTATTATAGATGGTGATATTAACAAGCATGATTTTTAAAATATTGTATAATGAAATGTGTCAACATATGAAGATCGACATAAGGAAAATCTGCATAATTCAGTGAATCAGTATTTTCCAAATAGCTGAAGCATGAGGTTACAAAATTTTTCACTGATTAAAGATCTGTTCAAAATGCAAAGTAGACCAGTGGATTTTAATGTAGCAGTAAATAAAGGTTTATTAATATGGCTTCAGATTCCACATTGCAACTACTTTTAAGAAACTACCACTCATCAAGGTTTGTTGTGGTATCAAAGAAGAGTAACTGCAGTTATCTGAAAAGGCCATTATTAAATTATTCCTCAAAACCTTTCCCAGCTATCTCTGAGAAGACCAGATTTTCCTAATATACTTCAAGTAGAAAAACATCAAATGCAGAAGCAAATTTGAGGATCCAGCTATCTTAAGTTAGACATTAAAGAAACTTGCAAAAATATAGAACAGTGTTCTTTTGTTTGTGAAATTATAGCTATTTTTCATGAAAATATACTATTTATGTTAGTATGTAGTATTTGTTATTTTCAAATAAATTTTTAAAAAACATCTTAGTTTTTAACATCTAATACAGTGAATGTCAGTAGATACAATCCACATTAACAAAAACTCTTTAGAGTCCTTCATACTTTTAAGTGTAAAGGTTACCCGAGACCAAAAAACTTGAGAATTGTTTTGAGTCTACTCTGTCTCCACCTTCAGACAGCAAATTCCTTTGAGAGCATCAGACTGGAAAATTGGAACTATCTTGTAGCCCAAGAGATTAGTGTTCTTGAGTATATGATGGCGTTCAATTTTCGTTGATATCTTTGATTATTTTCAAATAGACGAGTATGCTGTCAAGTGTGCTGCTTCCTGCTTCTAATGGCAACTTCCCACTTTCTTCATTGTATTACTGCTTTTCTTATCTCTTGGTAGTCCTTCTCTTTTTTCATTGTTCTTAGTGACTTTATACTTACACCTGAATTTAGAAGACCCCTTACTATTAATGAGCTCGTATATATCTGATTGTTATTTTAAGACTTAGATTATGGTGGTTATAAAATGATCAAAATCATCAGACAAAAAGTGTCTGTACTCTATCTCCTGGCCTTTTATATTTTCACCTAATAGTTTATTTTATATATAAACACACACACACACACACACACATATAAATATAAAATTATATATTTTTTTCTTGAAATTTACATGTGTGTGGATAGGAGCACTGAAACAAATTTTATACTTTATTCTTTGATAGTTAAGTTATATAGAAGTAATAAAACTGATAGTTTTCCCCCATATTCTATTTGAGGAACTTAATAGTGATTTACTTTCAGAACCATATTTTATTTCATTTTGTTTTTGAAATGACATGAGTTTTCTTTTTGCAAATGATTATGGTTCTGAAAGTCACATACAGGCTTTCACCAGAATAGAAGGCTTCTAATTTGAGTATTTAAATTAGAGGGGTATTGAGTTTAGAAATAAGACCTAATTATTCATCAGCTGTTTTCTTAAACCACAGTTTCTCTTGTGTTTTCTTAGGCCAAAGATGAAGAAGAAGCTTTTCTGGATTGGAGTGATGATGATGATGATGATGATGGATTTGATCCGAGCACACTTCCAGATCCAGATAAATACAGAAGCTCTGAAGATTCAGATAGTGAAGATTTGGAAAATAAAATTAGGTATGTTTTTACCATTGGTAGATTTAAGTACATGGGTCTTCTCTTTTTAATCCAAAAGATGTAGAGACATGCACTTATCATTTTAAGGGCTCTCCTATTGTTTCTTTAATTCTTGTTAACAGATACGAATGTTATAAAAGTTGTATTTTGTTTTTCTTTCTGTTCTTTTTTTTCTTGTCTCCTACTTTCTGAATCCTTTATGCTTAAGTATTTGATACACTAGGGTATATTTATTGCAGACAGGCAGGATTTTATTTTGACTCACTGTCAAAGGACACTATTGAGAGTGTTGTTAAAATTTTTCTGAATTTAAAGAAAAGGCCGTTATACTTTCATATTCTTTGATATAAAATTAAGTAACATATATAAAATAATGGAAAACTTTTACATAAACTTCCCTTGACAAATTCTCTCAATTTAAAATCTACTTACTTGCTACCATGTCAAAAACAGATGAAATGTGGTGAATTGAATAATAATATGACTTGCTCAGCATTTGTTTTCAGAGTACTATGTATTAGATTACATTGAGATTCAATTTTAAAGTCGAGGACATTGAACTTCATGAACATTCTAAATCAATGTGCCGTGTTAGGCAGAAAGTAGGTACTAATGATAGATGAAGTTAATATGATTGAAGAGAAGAGGAAGCTTGACTGAACCCCTGAGTGTTAGCACAGATTCAGAGCTGGGGAAATAGGCCACAGAGAGCATAATCTCTTTTTAAGTAAGAACAACATTATGAAAAGATCTCAAAAAAAAATTACCCCCTTAGGAGAAAATGCTATAGAGAGGTCATTTCAGAGTTACTCTTCCTTTTATTCTTATGCTCATTTAAATGTGATTATTTTGTAATTATGAAAATGACATCCAAAATGCGAGAAACTTGAAACATTTGCTACTTGGGTAGTGGACATAAGTTTTACTAACATGAGAGGCACCATGGGTGAAAATAATTTAATTAGGATTTAGAAAAATATGTAAATGTATACCCTTATGGGTAAGTAATTTAGGTTCGGGGCATATTCCTAATCTTTATAAATTGACTCTTAAAAGATAAACATACATACTTTGCTTCATAAAAGTCCTTGGTGCATATGTCAACACCTTGATGAACTATCTGCATGGTTAAGTTTGTACACCTTCTGTTCTTATAATAAATGTTCCTTTTTCAGGTTGGTTTATGAGATCTCCATTTTGATAGATATAATATGATCTAACTTAACACATTTGACTTTATATCATTAACTTCCAAATATTTCTGTGTAATTTCACTCTCTGGAGGGACCGTGAATTGATTCTTGCAGTTTTTATGCAGCCATATTTTGCATATCTGTCTAACGTACCTCTAAGACATGGAACCAGCCTTTGAAGTCATTGTCAAGATGTCAGCATTCCTTCTGTATCTGATTCATAAGAATTTTTTTCTAACTTTTTTTATGATAGTTTATGATAGTCATCCTCAGTCTATGCACAGCAGACATTTCATTCTTCTGGCATTTCTTACCCTCATAGTGACGTTTCTCTGCTACCACCTAGGTCATATGACTTGTTCTCTAATAGCTTCATGTCTTTCATTCTCTTAATTATCCTGTAAATGCTTTGGAGCTGGAAACCCTGTCTTTTTGTCCCAGCACTTCTAGCTCCAGCCTCTACTTTTATCCCCAATATTAATGTCATAAGAACAAGGAAGACCCTGAAATATTTAAATTGATTAATTGATTGATGAAAGAGACATAGTTAAAAAGGGAAGTATAATGATGAGCAGCTATGTAATTGGTCCTAACAGCGTAAATGATACAAGAGATGACACAATAGATGGTTGGAGAATTGGAAGAAGCCAAGGTTAGATAGTGTTAATAGTGATAGACAAGAAGGAAGAAGTACCTTGAGATGTCAAAGCATCTCAGGTTCAGATGGAAAATATTTAAGCATTACATGAAACTTAGAATAGTTTTAATTTCAGGCACAGCTAATAACTGCATTAGTAAAGATTGAAAGGAATTGGAAAAGTTGTCTTAAGCTAAAGAAAAATTGTCTTTTGTTGAAGAGAATATCAACAAGGGTTTTGTAGAAGTTTGTCTTTTGTATATCAAAAGTAATTATATAGTCCAATCCCTTCTTCCTGACAAAGAAACCAAGGTGTCAAGAGATAAAATAGTAATTTGTGATGGCAGTACAAGTTAGGGACAGATCAATATGAACTGCCTAAATCAAATTGATTCCCTGGTTCTAATATTCCAATCAATTATATTGAATTACTATAGCATTAGGAAAGAAAGCTTAGGAAAACTTCCTGAAGACAAATTCGATGTAATTTGGCTGAAGACCTGATCCATGGACTGTAGGATAGATTTGACTACACTATGGTTTCCCAGCTTTAGCATTAATGACATTCTGGCCCAGATAATTCTTCGTTTGGGGAGGGGGAGCTTGGGGATGATTATACACTGTCTAACATCATTCTTGGCCTCTATCACGAGCATCTCCCCAGTTGGGACAACCGGCAGTATCTTCAGACATCACCAAATATCCCTTGGGGAGCAGAATCCACAATTGAGAACTACTGAACTAGACCTAGGATGGCAGATATATACTACTGGCACCTATTTTCCCATCCGGAATAGGATTTGTCTACATATTCCTTTCCATTTAGCCCAAGCAGTCCTTCCCAATATAGCCTCTGTCAATCAGCTGAGATCGCTACAGAGGATAAAACTTATTTGCTATTCCTGGACTAGAAGGCAGGATTTAGGATAAGTTACAAGTAGTAGTCTACATGTAAAATTTCTGTTTATACTCTAATTTCCATTTTGCCCCTTTCTCTTCTCTCTTATAATCACCTCAAAGATAATGAATAAAGATATATGTAAACTGAAACCAAGTGTTTTGGATAAGAAAAAGTATTCACAAATAAGTCCATACAGACTAGAATTTTGACAATAGTAGTTGCTGCTGCTGTTGGTATTTATATAATAATAGTAACCAATATACTATTCCTTTACTGTTCCAAGTTTGCTACATCTTCTATGCCTCTCATAAACATGACTAGATGCTAAGATTTTGTGATGTCTACTTTAGAGGGCCCTCCCAGCGTGTTGACAGGTTTTATTTGCTGTGTTGTTTCTAGCCTCCACTCAATAATTGTAGGAACAGCTAATGTTCCAGCCTCTTGGTCATCTTAGCTCTCCCAGTAGTTTATTCTCTGCATTTACTCTTAAGGGACTAGGTCCACCAATTAGGAAATGGCTATTAGTCCCAAGGTAACTAGCATGAGCCAGCCTCTGAAAGTTTTCTCTGATTATTTCTTTTTCCTTCACTTTTATGATCCATAAATATTCAATATGGGTAACACTTTTGTCTCCACATGGAAGGAAGGACACTTAGTAGGAAATAGGCAAAAGAAAGCCAGGTTTAATGGAGAATGACTGAATCTGGGGTCAGTAATTCCTCCTCAGGGAGATCTGACAGAGTTTTAAAGAGTTTGTACCTCTGTCCTCCTCAGCTCAGTGCACAGCTGCAGTAGAATTTAAACCATCCTCAGTCCTCTGTAGAATTATCAGAATTGTCATCTCTAACACTGAGATTCCAAAGGGATTCTGATGTGCAAGATTCAGCTCCTTTAAGTTAGCATGACAAAAAGAGATCTCTTGTTTATAATATGGTTCCAGGGACAATGAGAATAATGTGACCTTGAGTTCCTTTGAAGGAGTTTTAAGAATAATGCCATTAATAGCTCCATTATTCTCAGATACCAAGCTGTGAAAACCTCAAATATTACAAGGGTCTTTTTGTTCTTAAGTGATTTTTCATTTCTTTATCTCCCAAATAGTCAATATAATGCTTTATCTCCCAAATAGTCAATATAATGCTTTCACAATAAAAATATTTTGACAAGCTTTCTACATGTGGTACCAAGAACTAGAGTAAGAACCTTCAGCATTATTTAAATCACATTCCACTTAAGAGTTAAAAATATCCACTTGATCTGTTAGTCTCTAGCTTGTTGTAATATTTCCTCCATCCATTCTTTCAAATAAGAATTTTTTAAATAGCTATCATGTGCCAAACCTAGTGATTGCAGGTGTAGAGCATAGAACATTAAACAAGAAAAATACCTTGCCTGCTTTCACAGTTTTTAGTTTAGTTGAGGTTACAGATAGCTAAGCATGGCTTTACAAAACAATGTGAAGGTAGATAAGTGCTGTGATTTGTGCCCTGGAGGAGGTACGGAGTGAACTTGGAGAGCATGTAAGTGATGGATGTAACTTGGCCTTGGTAAATCAAGAAGACCTTCCTAAAATGAGATGACATCAAAGCTAAACCTGAAGTAAGTTTGTCTTAACTGAGCAGGGAGAAGCATAAATTACCCTTATTAAAGGGTGTGGCCTTTGAAGTGAGAGAAGAGTATCTTTAACCATATTCCAATTAAACTCTTTCATTAAAATTGTTCCTTTTAGTCGTGCCCCACAAGCTGAGAGGTTTGGTTTGGAGCATGTATTATAAGGTTTATTTTTGTATATCTGGTAGCATTCATCATGTTTGGTTTATGGCCATCTTTGTGTGAATTGCTAATGATGTGAAAATTTGCAGAGTATTGAATATGATGAAAAAGAAGCAGCTAGATATTCCAGATAGTCATTATCCAGTCAAATCAAGTTTTTAATATTTATAATCTTAACCTTTTCAAAAAAAAAGTTTGTGGTTAGAGTTACTGATTTACATCAATCCTTTCTTCACAGACCATGGTCTCTGGCTAAGGCAGGTTGCTTTAGAAAGAATTGTTATATGGTGGGGTATTTGGTAGGTGGCATAGGATCAATTAATTACATCTGTAATTTGTATTGAGACCATTGGCATAATTTAGACATAACTTCTATATAGATTGATACTTTTCCTGTTCAGAGTAAATGTTTCTTATACAATATATTTAACTGTTCTTTTTGCCTTGTCTGACACAGCACTGAATCAAAAGACCAATCAAGGGTTTTTGGCTGTTT